AAAAAAAAAAATAGGGAGTATTTTCCCTTTTCATCCCCCCCCCTAACACATAGTCATCATAACAGTTACGTATTTCCCTTACCTTCAGTCCTGTGGCAATTTATCGTCAATATCTCTCCCTAGAAATTCCCCAGTCAGTTGCACGGTTGGATTGGCTCCCAGTGTAAACATGTACAGAAACATTTGGTGTGTAATTCGAGTAAAATGTCCCTCAGTAAAGGGCGTAGTTGGGAGTCTTTGGCTGGTCCAAGTGAGTGGTTTGAAAGGGTCACGGTGGTTGTATTGTATTTAGTTTATAAGAATTGTGTTGGTGTTTGTCTGTCTGTGTGTGTGTGTGTGTGTGTGTGTGTGTGTGTGTGTGTGTGTGTGTGTGTGTGTGTGTGTGTGTGTGTGTGTGTGTGTGTGTGTGTGTGTGTGTGTGTGTGTGTGTGTGTGTGTGTGTGTGTGTGTGTTTGTGTGTGTGTACCTGTGTGTGTGTGTGTTTGTGTGTGTTTGTATATGTGTGTGCCTGTTTGTATATTTGTTTTCAGCTTAAATTTTACATCATTTACTCGTCACAAAACCACATTATGTTGAGGATGTGAGAAACTATTATTAATTAGGGTATATTAATTAATCCTATCCTCTATTTTTTTGTCCATCCTACCTACATCCTTCTATCTCCTACATCATACTATCTCCCTACATCCTTATCCCACCATCCTTACCTCTCCCACCATTTCCTGCCTATCTCCACCATCCCTATTCCCACCATCCTACTATCTCCACCATCCTTACTATCTCCACCATCCTTTACTATCTCCACCATCCGCCTATCTCCACCATCCTTACTATCTCCACCATCCCACTATCTCCCACCATCCTTACTATCTCCACACATCCTTACTATCTCTGCCATCCTTACTATCTCTACATCCTTACCTCTCCTGCATCCATACTATCTCCACCATCCCTACTGTCACCATCCCTACTATCTCACTGTCCTTACTATCTCCACCATCCTTACTATCTCCACCATCATACCTATCTCCTACATCCTTATCTCCACCATCCTTACTATCTCCACCATCCTTACTATCTCCACCATCATACTATCTCCACCATCATACTATCTCCATCCTACTATCTCACCATCCCTACTATCTCCACCATCCCTACTATCTCCACCATCCTTACTGTCTCCACCATCCCTACTATCTCCACCATCCCTACTATCTCCACCATCCCTACTATCTCCACCATCCCTACTATCTCCACCATCCTTACTGTCTCCACCATCCCTACTATCTCCACCATCTCTACTATCTCCACCATCCCTACTATCTCCACCATCCCCACCATCCCCCACAATACTGGTAGGTAAGCCCACTCCGGCCGTCACTCGCTTCTTTGAGTCTGAGGAAGGTGGCTTAGGGATCTGGTGAGGGGTGGGTAGGGTGGCTAGGGATCTGGTGAGGGGTGGTGAAGGTGGCTTAGGGATCTAGTGAGGGGTGGGAGAATTAGCTAGGATCTGGTGAGGTGGGAGGTGGCTAGAGACTCTGTTGTGAGGTGGGGAGGGTAACTAGAGACTCTGTTGAGGGGTGGTGAGGTGCTAGGGATCTTGTGGCAGGGGTGGCTGAGGATCCTGGTGAGGTGGAGAGTGGCTGGGAGTGGTGTGAGGGTGGTGAGGGTAACTAGGGTCTGGTGAGGGGTGGTGAGGGTGGCTAGGGATCTGGTGAGGGGTGGGGAGAGTGGCTTTGGGGTCTGGTGAGGGGTGGTGAGGGTGGCTAGGGATCTGGTGAGGGGTGGGGAGAGTGGCTTTGGGGTCTGGTGAGGGGTGGTGAGGGTGGCTTTGGGGTCTGGGGAAGGTGGCTATGAGTCTTCCTATCACCACCGTTAAAAGGATCATCACTCACACTGCTGGACCGTGTGTGTGTGTGTCCCACCACTATACTACTACCACTACCAGAGTTATTAAGTACCATTCACTGGATCTTAGTTTTATCTTCAGTTAAGTATAAACTCACGTGTTTCCACAAAGTCCGTATGTTAAATTCTCCTTAACTGGCCGAATTAAGTTAATACACGAAAAATAACCTACATTATAACATCAGAGCTACACTGAGACTTCTCTAGTTCAGTTCGCTCGACCGATTTGGGAACAGATTTAACATAGAGTGTCTGTGATTGGCTGAGACGGCGTGGGTATATTGTCTGTGATTGGTTGAGAGGGAGGGGACGACCACTTCCTTGAGCCTCGTGGAAGATGAGGACCTCCCCCTTGAGCCCAGTCTGGTGACTCTCGAGGACTTATGTCTGGTAGGCCTAGAGGCACTGCTCTCTCTCTCTCTCTCTCTCTCTCTCTCTCTCCTTCCACTCTTTTCCCCAACCTTCCTCTCACCACCTCCTCCTCCTTCACTATTCACCATTTATCAACCTCTTCTCCATCTCACCACATCCAACTCCCCTCCACTTCCACCCCTCCACCTCCTCTCCACTCGTCCACTGTATCAGGTGGAGGTGAGGTGGTGAGTGGGTGTTAGTCAATATGGGAGCGGATAGCTGGCCACCCACACTGGAATTCCTTCATTAGAGGCTTGTGGTCGGTTGAGGAATGTCTTTCTCGCTTACTGACCAACACACACACACACACACACACACACACACACACACACTATAACGTTATATAAAATCTCCTCCTTGAGACGATTAATGTCCGTGTTGTTATAGGGTCGACCTCTACTGGTAATATGTCATCTGGAGGAAAAATTGTGAGCCTGGTGTGTTGTGACCCACCATCACTCTCCTGCCTTGATCACACGCACACACACACACACACACACACACACACACACACACACACACACACACACACACACACACACACACACAGAGCACACACCATCCTGACACATCACCCAAACACACACTGTCACTTGTTGTTTTTTTTTGTTTTTTTTTTACACACGCGCGCGTCAGGGTGGTTAAACTTCTCTTGGGATACACTTGAGGGCGAGTCTTCAGGTGAGCACTTAGGAAGGTTCAGTCTTCAGGTGACTATCGAGGTCCATCGTCACCTGAAGATTGGCACCCCCCCCCCCACCCTCCCTTGATAGCGCCGGGGTGGTTAAACTTCATGTGGGTTGACCTTCAGGTAAACAGTTAGGGGGCTAAAATATCTCATTAATAGAGTTCCTGTTAATGCTAAACTTTTCAGTTCCCACAAACAATTTTTTTACAATGATTCTTGACTTCCATTCACCCGATACATCCTTAGTATTCAGTAAATCTTGGGAAAACTTTAATAATTTTCGTGACGTCATGAATGTGTAATGCTCGTGACGTCATGAATGTGTAATGCTCGAGAGCTCATGAATGTGTAATGCTCGAGACGTCATGAATGTGTAATGCTCGAGACCTCATGAATGTGTAATGCTCGAGACGTCATGAATGTGTAATGCTCGAGACCTCATGAATGTGTAATGCTCGAGACGTCATGAATGTGTAATGCTCGAGACCTCATGAATGTGTAATGCTCGAGACGTCATGAATGTGTAATACTCGTGACGTCACGGCTGTATATATACCTTCAACATCTCTCCTGTTATTCCATCTGATCTAGGGTCCTTACCGTCCTCATATTAAAACCCATCTCCTCCTCCTCCTCTGGTTCTGGTAATATCAAGATCATTGTCATTATTAAAAACTTTATTCATAACCATTCTATAGTGTCCCTCCCCCCACAACCATCATCATCATCATCGTCATCATCATCATCATCGTCATCATCATCGTATATCGGTCGTCAGAGGTAATTACTTTCCCATATCACACACCCACTAGCTGCCTTTGACTTTCCTACCCCTACCCCTGTAATCTTCCGTTATTTTTATTGCTTTACCCACTTCGACGTCACCACCGCCACCACCATCACCAGTATTCAGTGCTTCATCCGCTTCATCTGTCAGGTTTTGTTGGAATTCTTAGTTTATCCCGTTTGGTTAGGTTAGGTAAGGTAAGGTAAGGTATCAACACAGCTTCTATTCCTGACACTCAGTTATAGCATCCTATGGTTAGGTTAGGTAAGATCAGGTCAAGTCAGGTAACGGTATCAACACACAGCTTCTTTTCCTGACACTCATTAGGTTAAGTTAAGTCAGGTCAGGTAAGGTCAGGTAAGGAAAGGTAAGATTAGGTCAGGACAGGTAAGGTAAGGTAAGATAAGGTAAAGTAAGGGTATCAACACACAGCTTCTATTCCTGACACTTAATTATAACATTATATGGTTCATCTGGGATCATTTCCTTTATCTGTTCACGTCCTCCAAGAATCTCCTCCAGCTGCTGTTTGATGCACTGCTTTGATAAGTTACGCGTCTTGACATATCCTAATGTGATTATTCTGGTTGGGATAATTTACATCTGGCGAAATCCACGTGTACTTATATATGTCCTTATGTTTACAGTGAGTTCCTGCTATTTATTATTTATAAAACACACACACACACACACACACACACACACACACACACACACACACAGAGTCCATCCTCCCCTCCCCTCAAGAAATAAGTTCCCAGTGTCATATAAAACAGTTAATTACACATTTATAATAGCCCTAGGCAATGTGACATCTATATCTCCAAATTACATAAAAAGGTTAATAAAGAGGATTATATATATCTTCCTACTGATATAAAATTTATTTAAATAGACAGAGTATTGAATATCAGTGTAATATATCTAAAACGGGTATCATTAGAAAGTTAATATAGCCAGCGTGTTGACGAGGGCCGAGTCGAGTGGGGTAATTTTAATAACTCTATGGCGTTCACAACCCGTGTTTCACTAGGTTCAGTTTTATTATTAAGAGTGAGAAATTAATGTTAACGATAATATTAATAATGATAGGAATAATGATTATGAGAAATTAGAATAATAATAATTACAATATTAATAATGATAACTTGTTGTATGACGTGTTAGTGATGTGTTTTATGACGTGTTCTTAACGTGTTTCAGGACGTGAAGTTACTGTTGCTGCCGTGGCTGCTGGACGCCGCTATCGTCGTCATCGTCGACGTGGTCTTCATCGTCTATATCGCCTATCAGGAACGAGTATGTAACACACACACACACACACACACACACACACACAGCGTTTCTCTCACACACACGCGCACAGCGTCTCTCACACACACACAGCGTCTCTCACACACACAGTGTCTCATACATACACACACACACACACGTTGCAGTAAGTGATTTCACAATCCATTTAATATCTTTGCCCTCTGAGTGGCAACACTCCGGATAACGCTGCCAATATTACAAGTTTTTTTCTTATGAGAGAGAGAGAGAGAGAGAGAGAGAGTTGGGAAGAGGCAGGAAGGAGAAAGTCAGATTATGTGGTAAGGTATGTGAAAGGCAGAGACAAAATAAAGTAATCTCTCTCTCTCGAAGTGCTGCTTTGAATACCCGCTGGAGCTTTGTGTCAGTTTAACATATTGTGCCCATTATGTCTTCTGTTTGGGTCGTGAAGGCGGTGGTTGTTGTGTTGTTAGTGGTGGTGGATGGTTGTTGTTGTTGATGGTGGTGTGTTAGTTGGTGGTAGTGGTGGTGATGGTTGTTGTTGATGATGGTGGTTGTTAGTGATGATGATGGTTGTTGTTACTGATGGTGGTGGTGGTTGTTAGTGGTGGTGATGGTTGTTGTTGATGACGGTGGTTGTTAGTGATGATGATGATTGTTGTTACTGATGGTGGTGATGGTTGTTGGTGTTGATTGTTAGTGATGGTGGTTGTTGATGAGAGTTGTTGTTGGGTGTTAGCGAAGGTTGTTATTTTTGATGATGGTGGTTGTTGGTTATTAATGATGGTCGTGGTTGTTGTTGATGTTAATAATAATAGTGGTAGTTATTGGTTGTTAGTGGTAGTGATTGTTATAGATCTAATAGAACAGAAGTCATACCACCACTACCACCGTATAGAACCATTTAGAGGAAGGTGTGGCAGGTAACGATGTACAGTAAACTATTCTCTACCACCGCCTGAAACGATAGGATAAGGTAATTGAGTACGGGGCTGAATGTAACGAGTATATAGGGACCAGTGCATTCTATTAGTACTGTTGAGAGACGTGACAAGTGCATCCAGACACATCAAGTTGCTCAAGTACACAAAGGGAAGTAATAACATAGATAACTAAAATAAACAAAGGAAAATAACAGGTTGATGGTGTATGCTAGCGTTATGTGTTGAACTATAGGTATCGTTTAGGGAGTTGAAATGAGGATTTGTTTGTGTATAACGTCATCACCTACTGCCGTGGCGGCATATTCAACCGTTGTGACGTCAGCATCATCTGTTGTGACGTCAACACCAACGGCTGTGACGTCATCAACAGCTGTGACATCATCACCCGCTGCCGTGACGGCATCGTCAATTGTTGTGACGTCAACATCAACTGTTGTGACGTCAACACCAACGGCTGTGACGTCATCACCAACGGCTGTGACGTCATCACCCACTGCCGTGATGGCTTCATCCACTGTTGTGACGTCAGCATCAACTGTTATGACGTTATCATAAAATGTTGTGACGTTATCATCAGCTGCTGTGGCGTCATCAACTGCTGTGATGTCATCATCAGGTTAGAGTAGGTTAGGTTAGAATGGGTTAGGTTATGATAGAGTAGGCTAGGTCAAGTCATATTAAGTCAGGTCAGGTTAGGTTAGATTAGGTAAGGTCAGGCCAGGTTAGTTTAGAGTAGGTCAAGTCAGGTTAGGTTGAGTAGGTTAGGTCAGATCAGGTTCGGTAAATAAGAGTATCAATTTCTGCTTGACATTCCTTATTATGCTTGCCTTATAGGTCTCCTTCCTGCGTGACCGTGTGCAGTACAGAGATACACCAAGGGTAGATGGGAGTGTGTGGAGGTTGGCCGGTCCCTTACCTCCTGAATTTGTTATATTCTTATGGGATTAATTGCTTCGATAACCGTTGATTCACTTACCAACGACTTTCCACAGGCCCTATATGCGTCGGTTATTGATTCCTGTACACACACACACACACACACACACACACACACACACACACACACACACACACACACACACACACACACACACACACACACACACACACACTGCTCGAGGGGAAAACTTTGGCTGAAAGAGTGAGAAAAATGAAGGAGGGAGAGAAGACGTAGAGGAAGGAAGGAAAGGGGAGAGAGAAATGAAGGACGAGAGATGAAAGGAGGGATGGATAGAAGGAGGAAGAAATGGAGGGATGGAGGTAAGGAAGATAGGATGGAAGGGAAATTCAATAGCAAGGGTTTGAGGAAGTGAAAGAAACAAATACAAGATAGAGAAAGTTGAGGAGAGGGAGAGAGAGAAAGAGAGATAGCAGGAGGTGAGATAAAGATAGGAGGAGAGATGGGTACGTCTACGATAGGTAGTTACTCCGCCAACTTCTGGACAGTTGTGACAAGTGTGGCTGTTCTCTCTCTCTCTCTCTCTCTCCCCTCTTCCTTCTTACTTTTCTACCCTCCCAATCCCCCTCCCTTCCCCTCTCCCATTTTCCATATTCTCTTCCTCCCTCCTGTTTCTCTCTTACTCCCTATCTCCTCGTCCGTCCTTCCCTTTTCTTCCTCTCCCCTCTCCTCCATCTCCTCTCCCTTCCTCTTTTGTTTCCCTCCCTCACTCCTCCTCCTCCTTCCCTCCCTCTTCGCTCTTTTTCCCTTTCTTTCACCCATCCCCCTCCCACCCTCCTCCTCGGCCTCCCCACCCTCCCCTCCTTGCCTCCCACCCTCCTCCTCGGCCTCCCACCCTCCCTCCTCGGCTCCCCTCCTCCTCGCCCTCCCACTCTCCCTCGGCCTCCCACCTCCTCGGCCTCCCACTCTCTCCTCGGCCTCCCACCCTCCTCGGCCTCCTGCACCTCCTCCGCCCTCCCACCTCCTCCTCGCTCCTCCCACCTCCTCCTCGGCCTCCCACCCTCCTCGGCCTCCCACCCCTCCCCCCTCCCCGGCCTCCCCACCCCTCCTCGCCCTCCTCACCTCCCCCTCGGCCATTCTCCCACTCCCTCCTCGGCCTCCCACCCTCCTCCCCTCGGCCTCCCACCCTCCTCCTCGGCCTCCCACCTCCTCCTCCTCCTGCCCTCCCACCTCCCTCCCGGCTCCCACTCTCCTCCTCCGGGCCTCCCACCCTCCTCCTCGGCCTCCCACCCCTCCCTCCCCGCCCTCCTCCCACCCTCCTCCTCGCTCCCTCCCACAGACACTGGAGTGCGGAGACAGACCAATCCATCAGTATCACTGCCAGGCCACCTGGACCCCCCCCACACCCACACTAGAGGAACACATCTAAAGAAATAATAACAATTTTACACTCGTCCCTCACACTTACACAATCACACTGTCATTTCACGTCACCCTCACCCTTATTCTTGTTTATCAAGGTCAACATCAACACAAAGTCATACACAATTTACACAATTTTTCACAACTCAGGAAATCTAATAAACTCTTGCAAAATCCTTCTGGTTACAGTGTGATATTTCAACCTCTTATTCCCGCCCTGTAAAACTTTTCCTTTGTGTTCAGTTTCCTCAGTTATGTATAAGGTTTATTGGCGTGTCTCTGTAGCGCTAAATGGATCTCTCTCTCTCTCTCTCTCTCTCTCTCTCTCTCGTGGAGTTGAAATATACCAAATTTTCGTAAATTTTTTGCACAATGGGAGAAATAAACACACACACACACACACACACACACACACACACACGACCATTTCTGTTGTATGTTATAGCTGATAGCAGTTAAATTTATTCGTAAGTCTTCAAATACAAGAAGAACACAAATTAACGTACACACCTTTGAGAGTCCATCTTCTGGGTCGCAGGTGAGGTGAGGCTGTTGGCTGCTCTTATGTGTCGCCACTAACGAGGAAAATTAAGCGTTGGAACTTTGGGGAATCTGTGGTGAGGTGGTTCAGAGACGAGGCTCTATCGTTAGTGGAGACAAATGGTCGCCAGTCTACCCTAATTGGCTTCACCTCCCCTCACCATCTCTCCCCAGTGGGCCACCATCTTGGTAACCTTTCTCCCCAGCCATCCTTCCCCCCCCCCCCGGCCATCTTGGGGGTGGGAGGTAGGGGGGATGGTGAGTTGCGGGGAGACTGGGAGTGTAAAGGGGAAGGCGGTTGGAGAGACGTGTTCCATTAATAACACATTCACCCCTGGCAAAAACAAGTCACTGTGACCTTAATCTTTTGGGGGGGGGCGGGGAGAAACGGGTCAGGTCAGGTCAAGTTAACAGTTCAACGATTGATGTCCACAGTCGTACAGCACACTACAGTCATACAACACTACAGTCATACAACACTACAGTCATACAACACTACAGTCATACAACACACTACAGTCATACAACACTACAGTCATACAACACTACAGTCATACAACACACTACAGTCATACAACACACTACAGTCATACAACACTACAGTCATACAACACTACAGTCATACAACACTACAGTCATACAACACACTACAGTCATACAACACACTACAGTCATACAACACTACACAATAAGACACTTTCTCCTTCACTTTCATTCTTTTCTGTTTCAGTTTCACCTGATGATAACGTCTTTTTTTATCTCACTTTCACCTGAATATAAACAATTTTTATCTCACTTTCAGTTGAACATGGATCCCACTGTAGCCATCACGTTCACTATCGACTTCTTTCTGCTGGTTTTACATGTGAGTATATTGACGTGTGTGTGTGTGTGTGTGTGTGTGTGTGTGTGTGTGTGTGTGTGTGTGTGTGTGTGTGTGTGTGGCGTCTGATAACCTACAGTATTTGAAGCGTGTATTTCTCTTGTACAGAGGAGGGGCTTCTACATTTGACGTCTTAGTATGTTTAAAATACTCTCCTCTACTGTCATTTTATCTATATATATATATATATATATATAGATGTAAGTTCTCAATGTTTAAATCATTTTGTCTTGTCTTTCCTCATCTATTAAACAGTAAGTTTATCGGTGTTAATAGGAATGCAATGAATGTATGTGTGGGGTAGCCAGGGGAAGGCCAGAATGGGGACGATTGGATAAGCTGTGGTGCCAGGAGAGATAAGGACGATTGGATAAGCTGTGGTGCCAAGAGAGATAAGGACGATTGGATAGGCACTGTGGTGCCAGGGGATTAGTAAAGATATCCCGGCAATGATTGGAGTGGAGGGCCGTGGTCACCAATCCTCAGTCGTGACGATTGATTGGTTGAGGCAAAAGTTATAAAATATATAAATTAGTGGAATAAGTAAATATTACTCAGCCGTTTGTGTATTGATAATACTTCATATTTTGTCTTCTAATGAGCCGACTTAATCAAGATGGTGAGTTGAAATTATGGTCGTCAGTGAAAAAATTTTAGTGTTAAAGGCCACACATCTCCCTGTTAGTGTGAGGAGTAGTGAAGGAGGGAGGGAGAAGTGAGGGAGGGAAGGTGGGGGAGGGAGTGTTTACCGAAGAGTTAATTAATTTTGGATTAGGTAAATTAGGTAAAAAAAACTCAATAAAAGTTGCTGGTGAAGTAATGAGCGAAGGAGTGGATGGCCTTCACCACCATACACCTGATGGATCTTCTCTCTGATATGTAATTAACGACGCCCAGGTGTGTTTTTTTAAAGGGGGGGGTGAGGACGAAGAGAGGGGGGGGGGTGTTTGATGGAAATTGAAACGGTTAAGATTTTTTGGGTGGGGCGTTGGAAGCTGAGCAGGATTCGAACACCTCACCAAAGGTTCGGAACTGTCCGAATCTGTATGACGACAGGGGGAAAGAAAAAATGTTCTGTTCCTTTGTCCATAGTCATGCAAATTGAGACGGTTCCGAAATTTCTGGTGAGGCGTTCGGATCCCTCCCAGCTTCAAACGCCCCACCAAAAGAACTTAACCTTTTCAATGTCCATCAAAACAACAACCCCAACCCCCACCCTCCCCTCTTCCCTCTTCCCTCCTCCCTCCCCCGCCACCCACCCCTCTTCCCTCTTCCATACACACCTCCTCTTCCCTCCCCGCCACCTCCCCTCCTCCCCTCCTCCCACCCCCCCACCCCTCCTCCTCCTCCCTCCCTCCCACCCCCCACCCCCACCCCACCCACCCCCCTCCTGAAAATATATAGAGATGTACAGTCAATCAAAAAATCTATCTTTGCAAAATGTTATGATGGACAATATTATAGACGAAGGATTTTGACAGCCCAATCAAGACAACAGGAGTCACCAGTGTTCATTCACAGAAATTCACCCCTCTGCCCCCCTATAATGAGAGAGTTTGAGCGACTGTCCACATCTACTGTACTCATACACAAACATGCATTAATACAAACACACACATACACGAATATAATAGTACACTTAAAATACATAATACACTTACAGGAAAACAAACTTACACAAATAACAGAACACTCACACAGACATACACACACACATACACACAAATACAAACAAATTCAAGTTTGCTTTCACTACTACAAACAAACAATAAAAAGAATACTCACACACACACACAAACATACACACACACACACACACACACACACACACACACACACACACACACACACACACACACACACACACACACACACACACACACACACACACACACACACACACACACACACACACATACACACACACACACACACACACACACACAGTTTTATAATTAAAATGATCATAATGCAAGACGTCTCAAATCATCTATAGGTTATATATGAAACATTATTTGTCATATGAGACATTATTATACAATCTTAGGGACACTTTGACTTACCCCAGTTGACCTTAAATCAAGCAAGGCTTGAAAACACGAGCTATTATACAGGGGGGGAGGGAAGCAGGATGAGAGAGGAAGAAGAGAGGGATGTTAGGAGAGTGGGGGAGGAAGAGAGAGAGGGCATGAAGGAAGGGAGAGAAAGGGAGGGAGAAAAGGATGGCTGATGATGGAAAGTGGGAAGGGTAGAAGGAAGGAAAGGGTTGGGAAGAGAGGAAGAAAGCAAATAGGAGAGGGGGAAAGGAGGGCAAGCGAAGAAAAAAAATGAAAAGGAGGCAAAGGAATTGGGGGAGGGAATCGAGGTATGACATTGCATTTACCATTGTAGGGGGAGGATGAGAGGCGAGATGTTATGGAAAATATCACAACTAACACTAATAAAGAAAATGGTATCGATTTTCACCTCCAAGTTACGACACAAAGATCACATCGCTATAACACTGTACTAGTTAAGATTACTCGTCCTCTCGCCGGGTTGAGTGACGGGAGAGTACCCTACCATTCCTTGACCACCTGCGCCTCGCCATCATAATAATATTTTCAACTCTCAATCTTTAAAACTGTAGACTAACATGAAGAACACTGATACTTTGACGAAAATAGATATATTCTCTTATCCCTGTTTACACCAAAAATACAACGTAAGCATATATTTTTAGAATCTGGGCTGTGTGATTCGCTTTTTCGCAAGGTTACAGTTTCGATCCCGAGTCTGAAAACAAAAGACGGTCACAGTTGGACGCGTCCCCATGGTGATGACGGCAGCAATAACCACCCGGAGCGCCTCCAGCTTGGGTTGTGTGTGTGTGTGTGTGTATATCTGTAAAACTAGACAGACACGAACACTCACCGCCACTCATGGATGGTGAACCTCGAGCAAAACCCATTATAAATTATTCATGAGAGATTTTGGAGGGGAATATTTGGTATGTGGCAACTCGAGAGACGTATGTGAGAGACAGAGAGAGGTGTGTGGGATGATGGAGGACAGATATTGAGTTATGATGACGGGGAGGGGATGGATGGATGGAAGAAAAGAAGCAATAAGAGATTAATGATGAGGAGGAAATGAATGCCAGAAGAGAGAGAGAGTAATAATGATGGTATGATGAATGTCAGAGAAGAGAGGGATCAAAAGGACTGATGATGATGGAGGAGGAGGAGGAGGAGGAGGAGGATGGCGAAGAGGGAGGTAAGTAAATGTGTGAATAGAGATTGATGATAAGGAGGATGAATGATAGAAACGAGAAAAAAAGGAAGAGATATATTAGAGAAACAAAGGGAGAAACAGTTACGAAGGAGTAAATAAGAAAACTGAAGTAAAGAAAGGAAGGTAAGACATGTGAAATGATGGGGGAGAGAGAGAGAGAGAGAGAGAGAGAGAATAATTCAAGAAAGGAGATGAAAGTTAGAAACAGAGAAAGACAGAGGAAAGGGGGAAGAGGAGGGACGTGAGGGTGAGAGGAAAAAAGACAGAATGAGAATCTGACAGACAGAGGAAGGAAGAGAAAAACGATAGAATAGGGAAAGTAAGAGACATGTAGAGGGAGAGGGATGTCAGGATGTAAGAGGGAGAGAAAGTGAGACACAAGGAGGAGAGAGAAGAAAGATGAAATGGGGAAGAGAGAAAATGAAGATAAACTGACTAAGTAAACTAGACACGCAAAGTATACACTAAGAAGAAAAGAGTTAAGAGACAGAGAGAGACGAAAAAAAAAGGTTTAAAAAAATATGATCAATTGTGTGTGTGTGTGTTTGTCAATAGTATTATATAACACCTTAACTAACTATAAACATTATATAAAAAAAACCCAGAGACTCCGGGTACGATGATTTTTCCCTTTTCTTCATGCTGCCAGACGTACGCTCTACTCTGTGTGACGTCACAGTACCAGGAGTACCGGGACGGTCGAGGTACAGCGCGGGACGAGAGGGGCAGATCGGTACGTATTTTACGGTATTTATCTGTATTTATCTTTACTTTTGGTATGTGTTCGGTAGCTGTGGTATATTTTGTTTTAATTTCAGTACATTTTGATATTTATGACATGCTGGTATTTTGGGGACAGGTAAATTCTTGGTATTTTCGGCACGTGGAATTTATGGTATTTCCCAAAGTGTTAAATAGTGTTTACGAGTTGGTGTAGTCCCGACTGACTGACTGAGAGATATTTCCCCCTATGCCCCTGGCCTTCTCACACCATGGGTTCTTCACTGCACCCCCGGCCCTCTTACACCTCTCTTTCACCACTCACACCCACATCTTTCACCCTTTACGCCCTCACCCTTCACGCCCTCATCTCTCACTCTTCACCCCTTACACCTTCACCCCTCATCCTCACATCTTCACCCTGGCCCTTCAATCTTCACACCCTCACCCTCCCCCCTGACACCCTGACCTCTGACTCTTTGACACCCTCACCTCTCATCCCCAGACACCCCTCACCTTACCCTGGCACTATCTCTCACCCCCCTGACACCCTCTCACCCCTACACCCTCACCCCTCACTACCTCAACAGATACCCGCCTCTCTGGTAACGTGGTTAGTGAGATCATATCAAGGGATCAATAGAATGTACTTCAGCCTGTGGATATCTGGATACTGTGTGGGTACCTGAAGTCTGTGTGGATACCTGGAGGCCGTGTCGGTATACACTATGAGACTATTTTGGATAAGTCGAGGAAACACACACACGCACACGCACACACACACACACACACACACACACACACACACACACACACACACACACACACACACACAGACGTTATGAAGATATAGACGTTTATGGGAAAAAAAATATGTTTTAAGTAATTTTTCCCTATTCAAAAATAATAAGTCAGCACCAAAAGTTTATTGTTGAACATAACTGATTTTATATTTTATTCATCCAAAACTTAAAAAAAAAATCATTACTTTTCTATGTTTTAAGTATTTTTGTTCTTCAGAAAAGTAAATTGAGGGCCAAAAGTTTATTGTTTAGCATAATGAGGCCAGACACACACTAAACCGTAATAATAACGTTTCACTACACAACACTCCTCTCCTACTCTCCCTCCTCCCCTTTCATCATCATCTTCCCCCTTCTCCCTCCTCTCCCACTCTACCTTCCCTTCCTTGCTCCCCCATCCCTCTCTTTTCCCCTGCTCTATTTCTCCCTCCTCTTCCCCCTCCCACTCTTCCTCCTCCTCCTCCCCTTTCATCATCTCCTTTCCTCTTCATTCCCCTCTTCCTCTTCCCACCCACCCCGTCCCTCCCTCACTATTCTACTCAGCCGCCGAACAGGAAAACAAAAACGAACTCCAACAACAATAGACGAAGCAGAAGATGGTGGCAGTGATGTTCCTGGCCACATCCCTTGAGAGAGAGAGAGAGAGAGAGAGAGAGAGAGTAACAAAGTGGAGGGAACGGGAGTGAGAGCCAGACAGAAAGATGATCAGAAAGATAAAAAGCAGACAGACAGAGACAGACAGGCAAAAAGATGAAAAGGAAGGGAATGTCGGTCAAACAAAGAGAGGGAGAGAGAGAAGAGGAGTAAAAAGTTCCTTAGTTTCGCCTTTGATGTACTGTATATCACACACACACACACACACACACACACACACACACACACACTCACACCACGAGGTGCTCAACACTCGTAGGGTAATATTATATATCCTCTAGTTATTCAGTATAGTCACAGGGTAGACGTGACGCCATGTTGAGTGAGTTGATCAGCTGTGTTTCCTCCTGACTGTCCTCTGAGTGTCATCCAAGAGCCTTATAACCTTACACACTCTCCAGGTGATGGTACTCAGGTTAATGATAGGGGTGTGGCCAGGTACAGTGATGGGAGTTTGTCATTAAGCACTATACTTAATCGGTGCGGTGCACGGTGTTGCCCGTGTTTGTGTTTTTGTTTTTTGACGTATTAGAGCAAGGTGCTATAGGTGCTACCACAGCCTGTGTCTGCCATTGACCAAATTAAGTGAATGAACAAAAAATAACCATAACAAATTTCAATACTGTCAAAAACTGTAATTGTGCATAGGAGCCCCCATCCCCCCACCCCACCCTCCCGCGCGCGCGCGCGCACACACACACACACACACACACACACTATTTTGACGTTCGTGAACATTCTCTGAGCTATTTACATAAATATACAAAATGTCAGCTGCGTGTGTTAAGAATCGTGACCATGCAAAGTAAAGAAAAAATATATTTAATGAGGAAGCTCTAACTTCAACCTTCGGGGGCTGGCTACTGAGACCAACCCCCTTCAAAATCCTACCTTCGGGAGAGTTGTGAGGGCATGCACATCTCCCTGACAAATTTCAGCTCCCTATCTTCAAAACTTTAGCCATGCAATACAACACACACACAGATTAACCACTTGGCTACGGGAGTCTCTGTGCATGTTGAATGAAGTCGTCTGGCGTTGGCTAAATTAAATGTTAGAATTAGCGTCCCGTAGTGGTGAGAGAGGGAGCGTGCTAACTGTACAACATCAAGCGCCCAACACACACATCAAGACACATTTTTACCTGTACTGGTGGCAGCCTCGTAAGACTTACCGCCGTGAACACTACCCCTTCTTCTCCAACATTTCAATACGAATCCTACGCCTCCGCAGGATATTACTGAAGGATATGGCACACATAACCGTTACTGAGGTTTGAAATTTGAAAAGTAACGGCTCACAGAAAACCTGGAATATTTGAGTATTTACCAAGAACAACGGCCGTCGAGGACTAGCCATCTGGAGGAGGGAATTCCGCCCATCCGGTTACGTCCATAGAGTCTGTTTTGGTCGTGAGTGTTGAATATCTCTCTTTATCTCTCACTCTTTCTCTCCCTCTCACTATCTCCATCTCTCCCTGGGTGATTTAGTGGTTGATTCACAAAATTTACCGAGGCAGGGTATATAAATGATTGCTTGTTGTTGAGAGATATGACAGAGGCTCGTCTACAGGCTGGTGATGGGAGTGGCTGCTGTACTGAACATAGGAAGGAATTTAGAGACGGATTATTGTTTTGTTTTGTTATTTTCTTACGTGACTGTTAATCTCTCTCTCTCTCTCTCTCTCTCTCTCTCTCTCTCTCTCTCTCCGTGAAACACATTTTATAACTTCGTCAGCCAAACAGTTCGTGCAAGTGTAAATATTGGCCACACGCACGCACACACACACACACACACACACACACACACACACACACACACACACACCAAGGCCTTAAATCTCTCGCGTCTGATCTCGAATTACTGGGCCTGTGTGTGTTTGTGTGTTAACTGACTTAGTACTGGACATATACAAACTATTTATATTTAGAACAAACTATTTAGAAATATTTTGAAAACTATCCCTCAGTTTTCATTTCGCTCTTAATATAAACACAAATACCACACCGCTGCTAGCCTTCATATAGTGTTTTTATTAGAGTTTGTATGTGTGTATTAGTGTGTATAGTTCACCAACGCCACCATACACTATCACCTGTTAGAACTTTTCTATGTGTGTTTTAGTGTGTATATGTACTTAGTTTTACAATTGGGGGACTGAAGGCTGTCGAGTGCAGTGCCCTACCTCACTGTATCATGTACCAAATGCTTAAATGTGCAGTGTGCCGTATCCCCATCGCCCGAGACTCAGTTTCAATAGATAAATACTGAAGTTGTTATGGTGTAGATAGATTGTTAAAATTATGTTTGTTGTGTTTGTCGTGTTTGTTTATTGTTTTGTACTTTAGCCTTCCATTAGTGTTTATTTGTTACCTTTCCTTCCTCTGTGTTTTATTCGAGCGCGCGCGTGTGTGTGTGTGTGTGTGTGTGTTCCTTAGGCTTGTTTGTAAGTCCAATTCTTGTAGATACTAAACATATTGTAAAAAATGAAAAGATTATGGATATTTAGTACAGCTACACCCTTTAATACAGCCTTAAAACCTGGCTCACTCTTCTCCTCTTAGGTAATGTTTGTTCTTTCTGGAATTTTCAAAATAATCCAGTCTTATCCACATTAAACACCTGTTCTGGCAGGTAACCCCCTCAGTGATGATGTTTGCATCTCTGAAAGTTTGTAAGTTGAACGTTCTAAGTAGAGGAGCACCTTATGTGTGTGCACTTGTAAGTCCATTTGATAGCTGTATAAATCGATAATATATTTACCCTCAAATACTTAATATCGTGACTCTCTTTCCAATAATTAATTCCAGTTTTAAGTAAATATTATTTTTTCTCACAGATCAAAAAATCGTCCCTGAGTTACCGCCGAGGAGGGGATAGCGGTTAAGTCTCCTAACATCAACGACTTTAGTTTTAGTTTAGTTTTATCCTCTTCGCCACTGATCGGCTTGTTAGCCGCTTGGGCGATCGGTCACGTCTCTTTTCATTTATATTCTTCACCAAAAGATCGGCTCGCTAGCCGCCCGGGCGATCGGTCACGTCTCTGTCACGCACTGTTGGCAAATACTGGGCATGCACCGGCTCCTGAATGTACCTGAACCCGCTCCAGTGTTGGTCAAGTCTTCTCTTGAAAGAGCTCACACTCGGTGCCGTCACAACACTCTCTGGTAGATTGTTCCAAGAGTTTACAACCCTCACTCCGAAAAAGTTTGCCCTCACGGTTTTCTGGACTTGCGGCTTCTTCAATCTTGAGCTGTGACCCCTTGTGGGGCGAGCGTCCGCCAGCTCCAAGTAAGGACACTCAACTGAGTAGTGCCCCTGAGATGCTTATACACCTCAACTAGGGTCCCCCTTGCCCGTCTGTAGTATAAGCTAGGCAAGTTCAGGCGCTCCAATCTCTCAGGGTAGCTGAGGTGCCGAAGTGCAGGCACCAGTTTGGTGGCCCTCCTTTGAACATTTTCAACCAATTGACAGTCCCTAGCATATCTCGGGGACCAGATGGGGTGACAGTACTCCAGATGGGGAAGCACTTCACTCCTGAAGAGCGTCACGAGGGACGGACCGTCTAGATATCTGAACGACCTTCTTATAAGACCCAATAATTTATTTGCCTGATTTACCTTCTTCTCACAATGGCCCGAGAACTTCAGCTCATTGTCAACATACACACCTAGGTCCTTCTCACACACAGTCTCAACTAGTGCATTTTCTTCATCCCGTTGGGACATATGATACGCCTCCTTACCGTTGGTACGCCCCAGGTGCATCCTCTTACACTTCGTGACATTGAATCTCAGCAGCCATTTCTTCGACCATTCCTGGAGCCCACAGAGGTCCTTCTGCAGCTCTTCACAGTCCGCTTGGTTCTTAATTTCCCGAAATAACTTGCCATCATCGGCAAACATTTGTATGGAGGAGTGTACAACGTCAGGCATGTCATTTATGAAACAAACAAACAACAGCGGGCCCAATACACTGCCCTGTGGTACCCCACTTGTTACAGGTACAGATGACGATTTCGTGCCATTAATCACCACACACTGCTTGCGGTCATGTAGAAAGTCTTCTATCCACGCTAGGACATTTCCCCGAATTCCATACCCTTCCAGTTTGATTTTCAGCCTTTCGTGGGGTACACTGTCGAAAGCCTTGGCAAAATCTAGGTAAATATTGTCGATATTACCGCCCCGTTCTAGAATATGGGTCCAAATATCCAATACCTTGAGCAATTGTGTTAAGCAAGAGCGCCCCGGCATAAAACCGTGTTGGCAATCTTTTACAAGGTTGTTTCGTAGTAGATGTTCCATCGCGGCATCTCTGATAATACTCTCAAGTACTTTACATATTATGCTGGTCAGGCTCACCGGTCTATAGTTGTTCGTGGAGTGACTATTGCCCTTCTTGAAGATAGGACTCACATAAGCCACTTTCCATTCACTGGGGACCATTTGTTCATCCAGGCATTTACAAAACAGAATCTTCAGGGGCTCTGCAAGCTCGTTGCACAGCTCTCTTAGCACTCTAGGATGCACTATGTCAGGTCCGGGACTCTTATGGACCTTTAGCCTGGACAGTTTATTTCTAATACCCTCTTCTGTGAACACAATGTGGGTCAATGCTGTGTCGAACCGTCTGTCCTCAAACGCAGGAAGGTTAGTTGCATCCTCTCTTGTGAACACTGAGGAAAAGCTGTTCAATGCCTCAGCTTTATCCTGGTCAGAATCTGCGTAACTACCATCTTCAAGCCTCAGGTCTGATACTCCTACTCGCGTTTTCAATTTCGACTTTGCATAGCGGTAAAACGCCTTTGGGTTTGACTTGACCTCGCGTGCAACCAGCCTCTGGAACTCCTTTTCAGCCCTCCTACACTCTATCTTTGCTTGGTTTCTGGCTCTTGCATACATCCTCCTTATCGTCATAACATTCCGACATTATCTCGCATATATATATAAATGTGGATACTAGTGTGTTTATTAACATAATATACGCTTGAAGACCTTAGTTGTTGAAGCGTAGTTAATACATTATATAACATCAACAAGACCTTAGTTGCTGAAGCTTAGTAATACATTATAGCTACAACAACATACCCATACCACAACTGTAATAACTTGTTGTGGCGGATAATAACACAATGATACCAACGTACACGAGTTTGAGATTTTCTAGCGGCGTAAACTAAGGTAAATATTAACCGCCAGGGGTCAGCGTCACATAAATTCGTACGAGTGTTGGCATTCTTACTTCTTCACTCACAAATATTATTGCCACGAACCTTTTTGTAAGGAGACCCAGGGCGATAACTACCATTCGGGCGATAGCGTAAAAATAATAAGAATGTCGTTAATAATACCTGCAATAATATACATTACAATAAGAACAAAAATTAATGAATATTTCTATCACTACAAGATGTTTTTATTTATTTCACGTAAACATAAAAAGAAAATGTCGTATATTGAGAATAAATTCTATTCATCTGCAGGGAATACGGGCAAATACTTCAAAATTCAACTCGGGATATTTCAACGTATGCCAAGTGGACCTACAGGCCATTTTCCTATATACCATACACCCAACACTCACCCACATATCAGCAAGTCTTTTGAAAAGCCTCCGTAGCTCCTGTTCATTACTACCGCCCTCCTATAGAGGCACTAGCCCATTTATTTTATTTTTTTTTACCTGCCAACTTTTCTGGAAGGCAAAAGTTGACGTTAATATAGTCAACAACTTCCGGCTGCACCCACCCATAACTCCTGAACGCTCATAAGTTTCGTGTTGTTGCTCGTTGCTGCCGCCGCTGGATTTTACGGTACGTCAAGTTGGCCTGGGCGTCAGCTCTTCTGACGCCTCACCCACACAGTAAGCAGCACTCAGCGGTGTGTCTTTTGGAAGAAGTTTCGTCTGTTTTTGGTGCGACTCATCGGGTTAATCAGGTGTGTGTAGTCATTTTCCTTCATAATTTTTGTCTTTAGAGGTGAGAAAACATCATTGCTTAAGGTAAATAGCTGACCCAGTATAAATGTGAATACCACGTAGCACGTATGACTTGACAGAATCGTACGTCAGGCATGCCAGCATTGACATCAAAGTAAATATTAGGGCGACAAATGGCTAATTGGTTTTTTTTTCACAAATTGTCGTTCTTTTAATAGCCAGCAGTTATTCGTGGTATTCGATAAAAGAAAAATGTTTCCTGTAGTGTGAGATCCACTCACTGTTGTGTAACGTGCAATATTACTGTAGTTTAAATTAATTGAAAATATTCTTTTAAATCCCCTAACTGTGCATTCGAGATACATAAATACATACATATAACCATAAATTCATGTGTTACACCTCATTACCGTGACCACTAAGAGACACAAGCAATTCTACATTACCACAGATTCCTTTGATAATGTTTCTTCCGGCTGATGATATAACAGGTTAAAGAGCGATTCTAGCGCCATTTTGAGCACATTCCCTGAACTGTAATTTAGTGAATAAAGTTATGCACATTCTCAAAATATCCACTTCAGATAAATTTTATTTCTTATTTAAAAGGGTCATTAGTTTGCCTTTTCTCGATTGGAAATTTTTGAAAACGGATGTCTCCCTTGAGCTATTAAACGCAAGGTGGTGGTTAAAATGGCTTCGAAATTACACTGCGACTCATTGAAAGTAGACTGTGGTACGTTGTCTTATTCCCAGTACCAGAAAGGTATTAACGAGCGAAAACCTTTGAGAATGTTGATGTAAGGTTCCTCGAGAGACCACGTTGTCATGATTCCCTGTACGATGTTGGTAATGCTCGGTGTTTAGTAATTAAAATCTGACCTAGCTTATTCTAACTTGTGCTACCGTATCCTAACTTAACCTACCTTGGCCTGTTCATATCCAAACCTACCCTACCTCTAACCAAATCTAACTTGTCCTTTGCTTAACTTAACCTATCCTTATTATAACCTAACCTACCCTTGGTCCAATCTAACATGCTTTTATTCTAACTTAATCTACCCATAGGTTAACCTACCCTCGAACTTATCTTAACATACCCTTAGCCAAAATGAAACCTACCCGGTGTTTAGGAATTCGAGTTCTGGTGTCGGGTACGTATTAGTTTAACCAATTACTAACCCTCACTAGCATCCACATGTAAACATTTATAAGGTACGTTATAAATACTCGTAAGTTTCGGGCAGAATATAACGTTAATGATATAGAAACAATAACGAAATGGAATGTGAGAGAATTCCATTGTTTGTTAATTGTATTTCAACCTTATGGCTGTGTCTGCTATTTCATAATGGTAACCTTTTGAACATGGTAGAGGATAACGTAACGATATTGGAACGTTAACGGCCCTGGAGGATATTTGACTATCAGGACGATAACTTTGCAACACCGTAACGATAGCCACTTAAGTTTAACTGTCCCGTTTATTCTTGCTTACATGTGACTCACTCTTAATTATTTCGCCGATTCTTTATAAATAATTCGTAGTGCCTCGCTCTCGCTACATTCTCGCGTTAAATATCCTGTCATGCTTCCACGCGTCTCACAGAAAAAAAAGTTCGTTCTCACTATTATCAGCGTTAATGATCCGACTAGTGGCGAGGTAGTCGAGTTTATTTTGCCACCTCTCCTTCCCTCCCGGTAGTAAGCACTTAAGCCGATTGTCAGGACCCCACTCATTCGTTAAATATGACCTAATTTAACCTGGTTTTATATTCGGGATCAACCCCCAGTTTATATCGCCACAAGACTAAGCGCGCTAACCTAACCTTCCCCCCACCCGCCCGCCCGCCCACCCACCCACCCACCCACCCAACCCGCCCGCCCAGTTTATTTCACCTGATGTTCAAGCTTCCTAATGGGGATTAGTTAGGGTAGTGTGAGGGTGATTAATTTTCGAGTGAAATAAGCTGGGAATAATTTTCATATGGTGTAATTTTTTTTAGATCAAACTGGGAATGAATAGTTAAGTTTAGATAATAACTAATCGATTGTAGCATGATAGACTGGTGATTGTAACTCGGACTGGTGACTGTAACTTGATAGACTGGTGATTGTTACTCAGACTGATGATTATAACTGATAGACTGGTGACTGTAACTTGATAGACTGGTGATTATAACTGATAGACTGGTGACTGTAACTTGATAGACTGGTGATTATAACTGATAGACTGGTGACTGTAACTTGATAGACTGGTGATTGTAACTCAGACTGATGATTATAACTGATAGACTGGTGACTGTAACTGATGGGGCTCCCTCTCGTTGTTTCAGCCGCCTATCATCCGGTATACACGTCAGTCGACCCTCAACAGCGGGGTAGAGAACACCCGGAGAACTGTCACCTTCCTGGACCACGGCGGGCTGAATGGCTTCTCTCCATCCCGACAGCTGTGTGCTCTGCCCGGCTCTCGCTCCCCTTCCTCAGTGTCCAAGGTGAGATACTAACTTATTTATTGATTTACTTGGTCTTTTTTTTTTCCTTCCTTCCTTCTAACTTCCACCTTTTTCTTTCCTTCCTTCCTCCCTCCCTCCGTTTTCCCTTCCTTCCACCTTGTCTTCCCCTCCCTCCTCCCCCTTCCTCCGTTCTCCCTCCCTTCCTTCCATCCTCTCTTCCACCCCTCCATCCTCTCTTCCACCCCTCCTTCCTTCCATCCCTCCTCCCTTCCTTCCATTCATCATTCCCTCCCACTCTTAATCCGTTCTCCCTCCCTCCCTCCGTTTTCCCTCCCTCTCTCCTTCCTCCCCTCCCACCAATATTTCTCGGCATACGCTAAGAGATTGTGAGAGACCATAAACTTTTGTGCCATTCTTAAATAATCGTATTATTGTAACCATCTTTCTCTCTCGTTCGTGTGTAAAAAAAATCTTAAAAGTTTATATTAACATAAAATTTTCTCTATTTCGGAATCTAAACAAAATGTAGACTTTATTCCAGTGAGAAAATCCCCGTTATCCCGGTGTAAGAGGATAACATACAGTAAAATTTTATTGTTTTCCAGACAAAAAAAAAATCCTATTTGTTTAAGTATTTGGTGAAAACGTAATTCGATAATGTAAAGAGTCTCGGTGCTGTTTGAAAGGTACTGTTGGCCGCCACCACCTTGTAGTGTGAGGCAGCTTGGTGAAGGGGCCTAGTGTCCATTACCAGTTAAGAGTGACTATTTTCTTGGTTTACCCACTGATTGGAAAATCCTCTGCGCCTTCATACACGATCATTGTTTGTCTATAATGATGTTAATACAATACACATACGACCCCTGTTACACACACAATACTGTACCGGGAAGGAGAGAGGCTTGTACCGTCGTGTCTCCTGGTACAGTCGACAACTTCCTCTGTTAAGTGGCTCTTCCTCTTCCACCCCCCTCCTTCCCCCCCTTCCCATAACACGGAGGAGTGAGTGAGTGTAGAGGCTAGAGTGTGTGTGTGTATGTGGAGAGAGGGGGAGAGGGAGTCACTAGTGGTCAATAATTGTTTTTCGTCCCACTTCCCCTGTTTACTTTCGTCTCCCTCACTTCTTTGTTTATTGTCATCTACTCCACTTCCTCCCTTATTGTCGTCTCCTTCACTTCCTTATTTTATGTCTCTTTTTATTGTTCTCGTTCCATTTTTATTGCAGTTTCCTTCATTTCTCCCTTTATCACCCTCCTCACTTCCGGCATTCTTGTCTCCCGTGCATCTTGGTAAGCTAGAGAGATTTGGGTTGTTTATTTGCTTTGTTTACATTCTCCCTGGGTCTTTCTTTCTTTCTTTATCATCTTCATCGTCCATTCTTTCACTTCTGCCTTCCGGTCTGTGAATACTTGATGTTGTTTAGTTTATTCGTATGTGTTTTGATATTTCTCTCTCTCTCTCTCTCTCTCTCTCTCTCAGGTGGTGTCTGGCAGTGTTTCTGCTAGATTATCCTTTACCACCCCCCTCCCCCCCCCCCACCCCCCCCCGCCTACAGGATGAAATTAATGGTGTGTTTTTTTTATTTCTCGAGAAAACAAACACACACATCCATACACACATACACACACACCAGCATCACCACCGCTGCCGCACAGAGATTACATAGTTTTCTTCTTTTTTTCATTATTTTCTTATTATTATTACAGTATTGTTATTGTACAGTCACACAGAAGCAGTACGACTAACCCTTGACCACACATCCATTAGTAGACAGTGTTAAAGCCTCGTACGGTAGCGCTCCACACTCGTAGGTTAATTTCCCCTTAACTATAGAATAATGAAACCCTCCCAGATGGTTCCTATAACCTGTGAAACATTAGAGACAGTTACAATGGCGTCGGAATCCCACTGAAACTGCATCGTAACAAAGTGGTTCATTTTCCTCAGTTCTGGGGAAAATAATTTATTGTACCTGGGAACCTTTTATGATTCTGGTTTGTCGGTTGTGTTGTGTTGTGTTGTGAGGTGAAACACAAAGTTATCTACAAAAATCACACCTGAACCTCAACTTCCTTCCTTAATTAAAAGAGTTAACATTTTTTTTTTTTTGGGGGGGGGGTATTTCTTTGTCAACTGCCTGGGTGTATTCTTAGGTCTTCAGTTAGGATAAAGAGATTTCTCGTACGGAGCTCTGGGAATCTAGACCAATGTGTGGGCGAGGAACACTACACTTGGCGCTGTGCTATTGTTTTGAGGGTCCGTAATGATCAAAAGATGGCGCTCGTTTACATATTCAGTACCTTCAGCGACCGTCAGTTCGTGTTTTGTTTCTTTTAGAGTGCTTCTGACGGATACCAGATGGTGTTTGTTTTTTGTTTAGGCCGTGTTAGTCAGCCCAATGTGCGCCATTCCTTGCCTGACTGATGGAAGATTTTCGTAGGTGGGGGTTGATTGATGTATTACCAGTGACCGTCAGATGGCGTTTTGTTCATATATTTAGAAGCATAACAGACTGTTAGGTGGCTTTTATGCCATTACTCCCTTGCAGCGGAGCTTCACCTCCCCATTGACAAAGGCCCGTTGTTATTTCTACACCTCCTTTTTCTGCGGTGGTTGACCATACTGATGTTCCTTTGTACACAGGCGACAAAAGCCATCAATTTCCCAGAGACAACACAGTGTGCAGGAAATGACTCGAAATGATGAGACGAGGTTGGTGTGAGGCGCCATTGCGTGTCTCGCCGCCTTGAGAGGGTCGCCTGGTTTACTGTATATTGGAGGTGCCATCTGGTAGTCGCCCAGGAAACTAATTATGTCAACAACCATGTTCTTGGCGGGATAATCTTACGTCACACTTTAATCATTCAGTTCACACATTCGTTCACTGTAATGTGTAATAGACCTCTTCCTGTCACAGTGATTTAGAACTTTGACCTACATCAGCAAATCAGTATTACCGAGAGTGAAAACAATTACAACAGTTCAGAGAGTTGGAACACATTATCTCTTAAGCGTTGGAAAGTTTGGGGTAATGACCGACAAACGCAGTAAACAGATCAGCCTTAGTTTGAGAATTGCCTTGGTGTAATCAGCAGTGTTGGGGTAATGAATGGTGAAGGCTGAGTACGACAGTGATCATTGGTGGTGGTCGTTTGAAGGAGTTTAGGTGCGTCAGTGGTCAATGTACTTATAGCACAATTCACTGTGCTTTAGTATCTACATTAGACAATATTCTTAGGTGTTAAAAAAATAATGGTCACAAAAGTAGTTATTTTTATTTTATTGATTTTTTCTATTAATTAAATCAAGGGGAGGGAAACTCTTATATATAATTTTTGCGATCAATTATTACAGGTTAATGAGTATACGGATTACCTGAAGATTAGACCCCCGCCTCCTCGGCTTATTTCACCTGGTGATTAAACACGCTAACGCTACTTGATGTCTAGTTATGTATTATAGTCTTCCTTCCTTATTTATTTATCCCTCAGCTTGTAACACGGTTCTTTGCAATGGCATATTTTTACGGTCTATTGACTCTCTCTCTCTCTCTCTCTCTCTCTCTCTCTCTCTCTCTCTCTCTCTCTCTCACACACACACAGACACAGCTCCTCTAATACATATTTGGGTGCATATATATAACATCATTTTCTCTTTCATCTTGTGTGTGTGTGGGGATGGAGAGCCTTCAGGTGTGTGGGGGTGGGTAGAGAGCATTCAGGAGTGTGGGGGTGGGTAGAGAGCCTTCAGGTGTGGGAGTGGGTAGAGAGCCTTCAGGTGTGTGAGGGGAGATTCTTATGTGTGTCGGGGGGATCAGGAGACAGACGCAATGTAATAAGGTGACTCCTACCTACCACACAGGTCCGACACAAAGCGTTATCTCGGGTGCTGCTTATACTGTACGTATTACTTAATTCTGATATTGTTAGATGGCTGTGTGTGTGTGTGTGTCTATACTCGTATATGTATGTGTTTTTGTGTGTTAACGTGTATGACGACCTGTGGTATAATGGTCAGCATGCTCGCCAGTGGACCCGGGTTCGATCCTCGGGCAGGGTGAAACTAGGGCACGTTTTTTTTTTACGCCATTTGCCTCTGTCTGCCCAGCAGTAATTGGGAACCTGTATGTTAATCGATTTGCGGTTCGTGTTCAGGGGTAATGATTAGCCAGTGCAGTTGGCGAGTTGCCCGGTCTTCTCGGACTATTCCTTGACACGGGTCATGCAGCTCGTTAACTTTGGGCGTGGTTGTTGTGTTGGCGGCAGCTTCTACACCTTAAACAAATTCACGCCTAGGTGGCCCTAGGGCCGGCCATCCTCGTTACACGAGGCGCAACCATTATTTATTATTTAACGTCTATGTACACATATGTGCTTTCATGGGTATGTACGGTTTTGTTTGTATACAAGTATTTAAAAGTTCTGAATGTTTTTATGTGGATGTGTATGAATGCCGTCCCTGTATACACACACACACAATATCATACCATCGCAAAAAATGCAATAAAACACATTAACCAGGAACCAATCCACATTAACGAAAGTAAATACAATAAAAAAACATTAACAAGCAACTCATTCACACATACAATAAAATTAAATGTTTAATTTTTTAAATCTCACAATTGCGTAAAATAAAAATAAAAAATACGAAATCAAATTAGTCAAACAGAAAATATTTATACGTCATGATAACCAGACTTAGGATTGGCATGGGTTAGGAGGGTGTTCACGTGTGACCTCACTGAGGTTCCGATGTTGTCGGCTATCTTAGGAGTGAAGGGTTAGGTAGGTGGTGATCATTGTTTATTTTTTATTAATATCTAAATAATAGTGAACTACGTGTCGAAATAACGTCATTATCTCTCACAACACGTCATTATCTCTCACAACACGTCATTATCTCTCACAACACGTCATTATCTCTCACAACACGTCATTATCTCTCACAACACGTCATTTATCTCTCACAACACGTCATTATCTCTCACAACACGTCATTTATCTCAACACGTCATTATCTCTCACAGCACGTCATTA